CCCCCCCCCCCCCCCCGGGGGGGGGGGGGGGGATACCTCGGATTTCACAGCGAAGAAATGCATTAAGCTGCCGTTGAACGTGCATTTTTCTGGAACCGACGCACGGTCTGAAATTTGTCATTCCTCCAACTTCGCCTGTCATTATTGACACGAAACTAAACGGCAGGGTCTGAGTGAAAGTTGTTTACAAAAGCATGAGTCAGAAACGCACGCGTGTCGGGAGCCATGCGCAGCCAAGCAGGCCCGCGCGTTTGAGCACCAGCCTTCCCCCCCCCCCCATCCAAACTGACAAACTGAATTTGCCTTCTCCCGAACGTGAGAAAAGGGGGGAGAGTGAGCTTGACAGCGTTTGACGAAATGAGAAAACAAGAGGCACCGAGACTGACAGATTCACCCATCCTTTGCGGGGCGAGAGAGGTGTTCCCGTTGGCTTCCTTCTGCTCTCCCTGACAGATCCCCCCTCGGGATCCGGCAGCCGGGAAGAGGCGAAACAGGGACTCCAGCTGATGCCTCCCATGGCCCACCCGGGCAGGGGGCCGCGTCAGGAGAGCCAGACCCCCGGTCTCGGCCTCTTGGTCGTCGGGATGGAGGGGGAGAGATCCTGGGCTGGCCTTCGGGGAGCCGAGCTTTCTGGATCCCCCTTTCGATGAAGACAAGATGAAGAGTGTGCCAGCCTTAGATGGCAGCGCCTGGCTGTCCTTGGGTGATTTCAGGGGTGTCCACAGAGTGTGGTCAAGAAGGCAAGCTGGCGGCCACGACGGTGCAGTCGGAGCTCCTCCTGTGTTTGTGTGTGTTGCAGTCACGAGCTTCGATCACCCCATTGTGGCCCTCAGCTTGACTTCTTTTGACCACGCCCCATGGACACCCTTGGCTGATTTCTAAGCGCATCAGAAATAGGATGGGAGACCACTAGGAAATCCGGACCTGGAGGCTAGGCTGAGAATACAATTTGTCGCCAAGCAAATTACACAGACCTGTCCGTGTAGTCGCTGGGAGCCCTGCTTGACCTGGAGACGGGACAGGCCTGCAGCTCTCAGCAGCGGTGGTCTCTGGAGGGCCCCGCCCTTCCGTGAATTGTCGGGTTGCCCCCTGCTGACAGAGCCCCGTCCCCGCAACCCCCCCCCCACTTGTCCTTAAAGGCTGCGCCTCGGCAGAGGGGACACGCTCACCTTCTACGACGGGGA